GGGTTGTACCATACAGCTACAAGAGACCATCATTGCTAGTTACACTGCTAATCCCCGAGCAACTAATACTGGGTTGTGTTGTGACAAAAACAATACCGAGAGCTGGGTTCAAGTGCGTTTTTCGTCCGACCTGCACCTGTGCGATTTCGTTTGTTCTGCTTATTTGAAGACGCTGTCCAACGACAAAAGCGATGACATTCGTCGACCGCCGAAACTGGCACAGATAGCATTTGATTCAGACTTGTTAACGAAGGTGCGTGGCTCCAAACACTCCTTGAACACTGGAAGCAGATCCTCGTTGAAAAACGGTTCTACTCAACCAAAATCCAAATTCTTTTTATCTGTTTTTCTCTTTGTTTTATTTCAATACAATCTTACAAGTTTTGAGTGAGATTACCTAAGATATTATTCGTAGAGGTGTTTATAGGTTTTGTTTTTTTTTGTTACCAAAAATGCGCTTTGTGTGCATATACATGTTTAGGATTTCCTGTAACAGCGGTAACATCTACTGTGAAGTATTCATAGTAACGAATAGTGATGGTGCCGACAAATCGAAAAACTTCAAGCCCTTGCTCCTGACTATGCTTTCGAGTGAAGAGGTCGAGAGCAAATTTGGTTCTTTGGTTCTTGGTTATTTAATGTCCGCCAGGTCTGCCACAACAACATGAGAATGCAATAAAGTTACACAACAAGGGAGATCATATAAGTGACAGTGGCGGACTTTTAAGAAAAATTGCATGAGACTTGTAGATTAGCGCACCGTTGCAACTGAATTGATGTCGATTTCACATACGGCAGCACCAAGGATTACCTTGATAGAGACAACTGTCTGAGGAGGAGTATGGAGGGAATGTTTCTCCGTCAGGATCACGGCACATCATCAGTTGGGGATTTTTGTTGAGTCCGTACGACCCCTGCCTTGAGTTCCTACTCTAATGCGTTCAAGCTGTCGAGCGGGGGATGGGGGAGGCTAATGCCGTTTGGACTCCAGAAATTTCGGCTCCGAGCTCATTTTCAAATTGCCTAAGTCACCAAATCCACTAAAAACTTGTATATAGGGGTAATTCAACATCCTGATTACGAGTATGACACTCATTCTTGGCGCTGGCGCCAAGAGAGGACACTACGATTACCTCCTGGGCTCAGCCTTAGCAGAGCGCAGGTAACCGTAGTGTCCATTAGCGCCAGCGCCAAAAATGAATGTCATATTCGTGATCAGGATGTTGAATTACCCCTATATACAAGTTTTTAGCGGATTTGGTGATCTTGCCACTTCAAAATGAGCTCGGAGCCGAAATTTCTGGAGTCCAAATGGCATTAGCCGTGGGAGGTATCTAGCACATGGGAGACGGGAAATTACGACCCCCCCCCCTTTCCCTCCTGGCTACCACTCTACCACTTTCCTAGATTTTTCCCAACTTTCCCGACTTCCTACCACTTTTTGTAGTTTTTTTTTCGGGTAAATTCTCGAAAATTTTCTAGTTTTGCCCCCGAAAAGTCAACAACCGGGAAAGATTTTTTCCCAGCACCGCAATTTTTTCTCAGAAAGCAAATACGTCCTCCCCCTCCTCTCTCAACACGAGCAAATACGAGCCCCCCCCTCCCCATTATGGCGACATGGAACAACAAAAATCTACTATGAATTTTTTTCTGACCAATGACGACTCCCCGTTGGAGATTCCCCAACGGTGATGTGGTCTGGTCAGGATAGGGTAAAGCGCTCGGGGTAACATAAACCCATTTTACGATCTAATGAAAAAACAGCGCGAAAAGTGTCGGAGTTTCTGAATGAAAAGGATCACCAACACACCTATAAAGTAGCAATACATAATACATAATCTGAGTCATTGCAGCCACGAGGTCGCATGGCTACGACTTTTTGGAATGTATTTTGGAGTCCTCTATTGTCATTAAACATTCACCTAAACGGACTATCAAACAGGAAGAACTTCCGGTTACAACATATAATACGATTAAACAATTCGACCCGCGCCTTACAAAAAGATGTCCTCATTATTTATGCAGTCCGCAGAGCATTCAGTTCTCGAATTTGCACGAAAACAGCACTAGGAGGACATGTGTCTTGCTCTCGTGAGAGACGAACAACTAACTGAGAGCGGTCAAAAACACTGCACGAAAACTATTGACTGCCAGTGGCGATGGCAGACAGGCAGTAATAACACATTCTGAGTGATCTTTTTCAAACGCATTAGTCGATCAGATAGACAAATTTGTAAAACAGAATGTGGCTGGTCGTTGGAAAGAATGAAAAGCGAATATAGCAAGAGTTTTTGAAGGGCAGGGCTCCAACCGCGGCGCACTTTTTCCAGTGTACAAAATAGATGCAACTGAAGCGTAGTGACACCGTGGCTCACATTGAAATGATACTAGTGCAAGACATCTAGCAAATACGACCTCCTCCCCTCTTACAACGTCCCTAGAACAAAAAAATCAACTAAAAAACCTTCTCAGCCTACATACGACTCCTCTCCCAGCAACCAAATGAAACCCTCCCTGTTGAGGAATCCCCAACAACGATGTGCCCTGATCACCTTGCACTACGTGACCTTCCCAGGTGAGCAGTACCCTTTCTCAGGCTTTCATACTCCTCATAAATTGACTACGAACTCAGGGTACAGCAGATGATTTGTGAAACGGCAGCGCCACTAGGATTCTTCCCTTCTTATTTCCAATCTTGAACGTCAATGCCTTATCCAACTACATTTTATCTTCCTCAATTTTCCCATGTTCCTACAGCTCTTTCTCACTTCCCGGAAAAGTTTCCCAGATCCCCCACCAAAAAAAGGGGGTCAACCACCAATATCAATTATCAGAAACGGCGGTCGTATAGCAGTTGTGCTGCTCCGCTAACTAAGCGAGATATGTAGTGAACATCATGAAACGATAAGAACCGAGGAAATCCAACAAACGGGAAAACTGTCTCGCGGCTCGGCAGAATCATTTCTGAAGGGAGATACGTCCATTGGTTCCCGGAGCGACCAACTTCCCCTGATGGGGTTCTCCCAACAGTATCTTAAAAGAAGTCCATTTTGCTCCAGCGAGCACAAATTCCATGATATCGAAGCAGCGATGAAAACAATATTTAGTGCCAGAATGCATGACAAATCCGCGTCTTTGGGCTAGAGGACGGTCAGAGGAGTAGTCTGACGTCATTTAGCCATCGCTCAATGTGGGCTTGTCCAGCGCTTGAGAAAGGTTGAGACAGCTGATTGTGTAACTGAGAAAGTACATATATCTCTCAAGCTAGAGAAGAAAGCAGCTTGAAAAAAAAGTGGGAGGCAGGCTGAGGGATGTGCATCGATCCGCGAGCTTTCGCCTTTCCTCCATGTCTGACCAAGCCCCTTTTGCAGGTATATGGCGTTAAATCAGAACAGAGCTGATATGCACATATCTACTGATCGTTACAGCAAAAGCACAATGAGCATAGCATCACCTTACTAACACGCAGACTTTCAAGCAGTCATCATCAATTATTTCAAAGCAACGTCGCGACAGAAGGTCAGGCCACACTGCCCCGCACCCCTTACTGCTCATGCCGTGTATGCCTTGATAAGAAGTGTCGATTATACGCGCGTAAACTGATTTTTCAGCCAACTACTAGAAGCACTGAAGTGAAAAAAACAGGTTGACTTAGTCCCTAATACGACATTAATCGATGTACTTTCAGGCAATTCATTCACTCTACCACCTATTCCCTCGGGTATAAGACACTCGCTCGTCGAGAACACCGCGAATATTTCGCTCAAAAAAACGCATAGTTAGATTTACGCCATTATCAGTTTTGTCAATGATTTTATCAATGCATGCTTTCATAAAAATAATTATTTCCGACGAAATAGAATCGGATGACGATATTGAAAAGAAATTGTTCGAAGAGAAGTAAGGGGGAGTACGCAGAAAAAGGCACTCGCCGCTACTTCTGCGACAGATGTTTTCGCACGCGGTGTCGCGTGCTTCTCTGCGAGCCGGCAAATAAACGCTCCTTACACCCAACAAAATAGAGAAGGCAGAAATTGCTGCTACGAAGAATAACACTAAAGAAAAGAAGTGAAGAAGAAACTTTAACATTGTTCCTAGCAGATATTGAGCAAACGTAATCACAGGAAATCCAGAGCCCGGGCGAGACTCTAACCTGCGCCTTGCGCTTATGACATATGTTACTTACACACCTCTATGGTCGTTGTGAATTCGCACATTCCAGCTTTTCACGGATGATAAGAGGCTCACCCACCCCGGGAACCCCACCCTTCGAAAAAGCTCGTTCCCCTGGCTCGCTATAGTTTCCGGAACGGCTCGATGCCCTGCCAGGCGCTGTCCTCTATCTGTCTCCGTTTCTTGGTTTCGCAACAAGACCCCTCACAAAGTTTGAGATATCACGTAACATGCAATGGAAGGACCACGCGGCGTCGCGCGCAATGACTGCGGATACCGTATGCTTACAATCGCGGTAGTTTTGCTGTCCGGTGCTCTTTTGTCAACAGGGCAGTCCGTCAATATGACAGTAACTACAGACTGGGAGTATGCTGCCAGAAAGAACTGCGACAGTCAACTTATTAGGGACCACCAGGTGAGCAAGATTAACTCGCGAGCAGGTTTCTATGCATCATAATTGCTATGTAATCACCCCAGTTATGCAAATATACAACAAAGTCTAACGATCATGACAGTTCGGGGCCTAGCAGGGTGAAGAGCACGGCTGGGAACTGAAGCGAACACCCCTGAATTCAATAACTCAATCCGTTTATCGCGAGGGTGCGCTCCACTGCAAGCACGCGGTGTTTGCAGATTGCTAGGCATGCGACGCCGCATGATAATCAAGGCCGTCTCCTCCTTATCCATCACGCACACCATAAAGTAAGGTGAGGTGCGAGTTTGAGCTCTGCCAGGAGTCATGTCTTTTGTCCATAACGCAGCATTCTCGTGATACCTTCCGCTATACTATTAAAAGCAATTATTACAACAAAAAAAAATGTGAATTGATGCATGATTCAATGGGACTTTGCATCGACACTATCCCAGGTGTTTCAAAAAATGGTTCTACAACTGAATAATTTGCGTCCCATGACACCTGAACATTTCGAATTGCTATGACGCGGCAGGCTGCGTGCTCATTTGAACATGGCCCAAGAAGGCTTAGTCGTAGAATGTTTCAATCTGAGACAACAGACATTTGGCTCGGTTTCGCGAAGACATAATTACAAATATCCAAAGTGAATGCATTCCACCAAAAGTGCAGTCGTCGCCATGTTAAAATGAGGTATGCACCCACGCCTACCGCATCTGAGTGATATGAAGCGTAACGAGTCGTAGCATCACGTCTCATGACACGTCAAGTATGAAGAAATCGTTTTGTACGACCTACATCCTTTCATGACATTTACTCGTTTTTTCAAATGTTGTACAGCAACTAGTATGAGAGGTGCGGTTCTGCCTAAACTTATGGGAAAGGGGCTCCGGCTTCAGTTACTGTAGTGAACTAAATATTTTATCAGAAAAAAATCTTGGAGTTCTGTGAAAACTGGTGTGCCCACATTGGAGCTCCTTTCCAACGGGACACAATGACATGTAATGTTAACAATAGCGCATTAAGCTGCGAAATCTAATTGCACTAGCGCTAAGAACGAAAACGGATGATGAAAAGATGCTCATGTAGAAATAATCGTTTGAATTCGTGAAATAGCTTTCATTCTGCTGAATCTATGGTACTATGCACCCCAGATAAGCCGCATGAAAAACGACATCTCAAGTAAAGTCGACCGATGCAGTAAATTCAACGGGGGGGGGGAGGGAGGTGAGAAGCTTGTCAGCACATGATAAATGAAATTCTACCAAAGACTCCCATGAATCGGAGAGGAATTTTGCAGAAAAAGGATGATATCCGAGAGAAGTAGTCGATACAAAGCTAATGAGACCACTCACAAAAAAACGGCGATGTCAGCGGCAAATGGCGACGCGTTTCGATTATTGTCAGTAGATCAGGCGAGTACCAGTGTTGGGTTAGTAGAGTGATGCCTCCCGACAACACTACCTTCTTCTGTTAGTACATATGTTCTAAATGACCTACTGAGAGTAAAACCAGTTCAAAAACGCATGAAGTTTATCAGTGAGTTAACCGACTGGAATCGACTCCTGTATACATGGATAGATCAAAGAGTGGTGTTGTCTGAAACATCGTGAGTCAAAGTGATAATTACTTTCAATTCTGAAAAGGGACCACAAGCCTCTTTACATGTTGGCGTGAGACACCGGTGGTTCATATCCTTTTGCACCTTTTTTGAGTTACTACCTTCAGCTTCTATCGGTTTCTTTGTTTTATTCTAACCAGCCGGCTTCGCCGGCTGACACCGGCGCGCCTCCTTCTGAGATACAGCACGGCTTCGTCGAGCAGGCGCGGCTCCGCCGCGCTTGCCTTATTCCACTCATTTCATTAGCCACCTAATATCAGGCTTTTCTTTAACCTGAACAGGTGGTCAACATTCCTTGACCAATAGCATCATACCTGCTACTTTCAACACTATTACAGTGAATGGAGTGGTGGCACGGAGCGTTGATGAAGTGGGCAGATGAGAGAAAAGCCGGGTATTAGTCGAGCATTTGATCATACGAATGCAGGTAAGCGCGACGCCACGCAAAGCCGGGCCGTATCACATAGAGGCCTGGAGTGCTCTGGAACCGCTTGAGGAGTTTTTAAGGCTGGTCCCGCTCACCTTGACGCACGCTCCACACACGACAGGTATGCCTGACACTTGTGAACCGGTGACCCCTCGATGACCTTAAACTACTTTTTCCCGGTGTCTGGAGTGCTCTGGAACCGTCACATTGACAATTTGCGCTGCTCGTTACTGGCTGCCGCACTCACTACGACCCCCCCCTCTCCTGGCGGCCAAATACGACCCCCTGTTGGGGATTCCCAACCAAATGAAAATGCCCGCCTGTTATATCCACCTCAAACCCGAATGGAAAGCCTTCTGCAAGAGTTTTCTTGAATTTGGCGTGGGATTCAGCGTGTAGTGGAACACTACGACTTACAATTTGTTCGACGCCCGCCTTTTTTGGCCGCCAGCAGCGTTCCGATACCTTCTGAATCTGGAGTGGGTTATTGAATTTTTGCAAGCTTTCTAGGTCTATGAGGCGGGTTTCATAACGTAGCGTAGTGAAGGTAATGAACAAGAAACTTCCAAAGGAGTGTGTAGGTACTGGACTGTTTCCACAGTTCGTCAATTCTTCAGTTCCTCCGTATTTCTTTACGCACATTCTTCAGTTTGATTCTTTGTTTCTTCAATTCGATACGTATGCACTCCTTTCCGCGTTTGTGCGTTCTTCACTGTTACAAAAACAAAGTGTGAGCGCGCTTTATAAATCTGAGGGATGATCTGTTTTCTGTTTTCTTGCGACTTGCGTTACTAGCGTGTCTTATATTGGTTGTTCCCGAATGCGCACATTGTAATACTCCTATCCTTAAGTGAATTCAGAAGCCTTTCTTGTGGTGAAGCTGGTTCGGCTGCGGATGATGGAGCAATGTCCGCACGGCTGCCTTTCGCGCGCCGTTCTCCATCGCAATTATTTGAGGCGGCAACAACGGTGAACAACGACTGAAGCGGTGTGATACAGTCTGTTGTCGCAACAGAAAAAAAAGGGTAGGAAAAACGCATGAACGCAAGGACTACAATCGCCTTATCAAATCCCCAAGGCGAAGAATAACAAAAACTTCTTTCTTTCCAGTGGCTGATAATGCAGCTTCATTTTAGAACAGTGGAAGATGTCTCATCCTGAAAATTCAATCAATTTGGCATCAGTCTACCGTAATCTGAAAGATTCCTGTGCCGCATCCGAACGGTAATATTTTGATAAGTATGCCTATTCTACGTTCTTTCCATAGAAAATTCATTTACATTCAACCTGTTTCCATCTTCTTTTCCCAATGGATGCTAAAACCTCGTATAAGGTTAAGAAACATAGTCAAATTGAACAAGTGTTTTCTACATTTCAAAGGTCAAACCCCACTGTGAGACTCTGACTTCCGCACCCTGGTTCTAGAAACAAATGTACAAGATGATTGTCTGATTAAAAACAATGTTTTTGCGCCACCAAGGTTGAAACTCTAGCAATGCAGGCGCATGATTTTCTACGTTGCACGAAATTAGTGCGAAGAAATGATTGTAAGCGCCAGGAGATAAGCCTTAGGGTAACATAAGCTCCAGGTTTAGGTGACCACTTTTACTCACTCGTGGCGGTTAAATGAAATGAAGTGTACGGTTGTAAAGACAGGCCTCGTGGTCAGCCAATCCCTGGGATTCCTCCCTTGCCCAAGTTGTTTGGTGCGTGATCTTAAAGGTAACCCCATTTTCACGGCTTTCATAGTGAGTGAGGCGATGCGGTCATCAATAAGGTTTGTAGTTATATATCGGCACATCGTACGGTATATCCGTATTTACTGGAACATAAGATGGCCGCAGCGCCCTAGTCAGTGTGAAGCCACGAAGGTGGCCTGTTTCTGAAATTACAGATCGGACTGCTTAGGCAAGGAAAGACCCCTGCGAATTGGTTGAGCCAGGAGTCTGTCTCTGAACATTGCGAGGACTCTGTGCACCTGCGTATACTAGACCACCCCCGTTAAACCTTTTGCAGAACCTGTAAACTTATACTTAATACTTGATAGCTTTATCTTTATCGCACAGACCAAATAGAGTGTTTTTTGAACATTTTGTGGCGAAGATGTCGTCCATCTTCTAGTCATCGTCTTCTGGTCCTTTGCTCCTGAACCTGTAACTATTTCACAGAATATTCGACTTTGCATATCCCACGGCCATGTTTCCATCGGCAGCCCAGGATGTGTTACAAACTGCAGAGTGAGCTATGGGTTTTCTCGAACCATGAAATACCACAGAGGGTGCGAATAAAATGGACCCAAGCTTATGGAGATCAACTAAACGGAACGCTCAAGTTCGCGATTTCAAATTTCCGTAGTTATGGACTTGTGATTAATGGCGGGGGATTTTTTATTGTTAGAATAATTGGTTCACCGGGAGGCTCCGAGTTCTTCAAAATGGTGCGGGCCACAAGGTCACCTTTCTGACTCCATTGTATGAGTTCTATAAAGTAGTTTTCAATCAGAGCTGAATTGGCTGTGTGAAGTAGATGATGCTAAGGCATACATAAGGATAGACGGTCATAAGGTAGTTACATGTAATTTGGTGAATTCAGTTTTCCTCGGATGTTATTTTTTTTCTGACTTGAATTCGCTGGAGTGCTTGTAAGATGTCATCTTTAGGGTTCTAGATAGTTCTGCGGCGCGGATAAGGTTTTACTGAGCTGACATCAGAAGGCAGAAATTCGAAGTAAGCTTCAAGGCGATTATTGAAAAATCCTCGAAGGTGTGTCCCAGTACATGTGTTTCAGCTAGCATTTTTTAAAGCCTCATAACTCGAGAGTTTTTTTTTGTTTCTAGTGGAGTGGTAACGACATAACACATTGTTTCTCTCGAGACTAGAAAAGTTCAGATTCACACGCCTTTATGGTAACAAGATGCTATGTAAAGATTGAAAAAGCTTACAGTTTCATACTGTACTTTCATTAATGCCGGATGGAGCGGAGGTGCTTCAAAGACCAAGCTGTACAGCTACCCTCGGTTAGAATTTCAATCCGTCATGTTGAAGTGAATGGTCGCCCGCAGGCTGCAGTAGCACGCTTTCTTTTCTCTCGCTTGAAACAACGCCGACGGCGCTCGAGTATTAATGTTGGTCCTTCCTTGTGCTGTAAGTCCAACCCCTAAGCTAAGAGAAATGTCTCAACTCTGCGATCCACAGCGAGCGAGGAACGTTGGTTACAGCCGTCGAAATTTCTAGTTTAACATCACAGTTGGGACTGCCCTCTTGCTAAAATGCCCTCTGACGGAGGGCCGCTCAAGTGTTCCTTGTTGGGGCGGCGGGCATTAGTCGGAACTGTATGTCCTTTTTGCTGACCCGCTCGTGCCTATAAATAATTCAACCCTAAATTCGTACGCCGTGTTTTCAAAAGTTTCTTCTTGTCACGGGTTTTCCGTCGGTGTTTTTAGTTGTTTTTCCGTATCCAATTTCTTTGTATCGGATGATATTTACTACTGGGAGCTGCGAAAAAGCAATTTGTCAGTCAACGGTTGCACAAGGACCGTAGGTCGGGGTGACTGCCAGGGAGCGATTTTGTTTATGGTGTTCTTGGGAACTCTTCCTGCTATTTTCTTCTTTGGGGAATTACTTATCAGCTACTGTTCATAAATGAACAGCAGCTATCCATGACACTTTACCGCGGGAACTGTCTTTAAAAGTGCACGGGAACGGGCTGAACGGTTATAGTACTCCAGTGCCGACTCCATACTCGGGCTGCAGCGCGGCTAACCTTGAGCCTAATCGTAGCTGAATGCGGCATTTGCCTGCGCCCTCTCACTTTTGTTTGTTCTCTATTCACCTCGCCTTTGATGACGGGGAACCCATGTAAAATGTTCACAAGTCAACCAAGCTCATGGATCGTATAATAGACCAAAAAATCGAATACTTCTTTCGAACTTGTCTCTCCGCGTGATATGGTTAAGGTTCCTCATTTTGGAAACCATTTCACTGGTGATTCCTGAGTGTGATTATAGGATTCGACGACATGGATCGCTCTTACAGAAAGCTTGATGATGGAGTTCACCACACCAGAAAGCATAAAGATCCTTGAAGACTCAATGAAAAAAGACCGAAGACGATTACACTCTGGTAAACAAGCAAGTCAGAGACGATCTTAATGATGCACTTAAAGCTAAGTCTTCAAAGGATTTGGAATCTCGAGGTTTCACTCTCAAACCGATTAACAAATAAGGTCATCCTGTTTTTTATTGTTAGAAAGATCTCATTGTTATTTTTTTTTCGTTGGACTGCTGAAATGAAATAAAGATTCTATCAACAAGTATGTCTTTATCGTAGAGGTTAATGTCCTTAACTACTTTTCGTCAATAGCACAATCACTTTTGCTACTACTCCCATCTACAGGAAATTCCTCATGTCAATACAACAAGTCTTCATTATAAGTAGAGCTGGAAGTCTTATTTATGACTGGGAGGCCAAAACAGATGTGGTATGTTACCTCACATGTTTGGTCAGTTGAAAGGACTCTTTTTTTTTCCACTCTTCAGGTGGAAGTGGAGCGGATTTGTGAATACCCTTTAGACATTATTTTGGAAGAAGTAGATCAAAAAGCGATGGTGGTCTTCGGAGAGAAAGATGGTGTTAAACTAAGGTACCATTTTCTACTCTTCGTCAGTAAGGTTGCGTTCATACTTTGGATGGGAAACTGGGTGAATTGAAGGACTGACGTTTCTGTGAGAATGCGTGTCAAAAGAGTGGATGGGTCAACGGCAACGCGCCTTCTCCCAAGAAGCTAATTCTGCACTTATGCCTTCGCAGTGTATGACCGCAGCTCGAGAGTACAAAGTTTTTTCTGTTCCATGCGTTGCCAAGCCGGCTTGGAAACATTTAGACCGGAGCTCGTTGTGAAATCTATCCTTTTCTTGACAAGTATCCAGTTTCTGGCAGGTGTTAGTTGCGCTGTGGAAGACAAACTTACCCTTTTGAATTGCCGAACGATGTATCGAGCGTTCTAGTCAGTTTTTCCTTGAAAATCTACCCTAGGTTCTCGAATAAAGACTGAATCAAAATATGGCTAGCTTTCATTAAAGACAGCGTCCGCGATCAGCCAAGGTGAAAAAACCTGTACTGTACAAGATCGCGAGTCCGCAGCCACAGAGTATATCCCACTCTTGCGACTCGAAATCGATTGATAGACGAAGGCGGAGTCAACAATGATAAGGTGACTCCGCCTGTCGTAATTATCCCGCCTCAATTGGTTTTCCGTTATGAATCCTCATTGATAACCGCTAAGTTTCTAGCGTTCGTTCGTACACTGATAGAGAGATTAACTTATAGATAGATAGGATTAGATTAGACAGATCAGCTTCACGCCTAGGTAGTGGCCTCATGAGAATTAGCCGCAACGAGGTGGCGATAGATCACGGAGAACTCATCCCATACCTCTGAACTCGTCCGGATCGTCGCGATCGAATAGGGTGTCTTTCTATTGTTGCTTGCGCGCTTTTTGTTTAGTTTTTTGATGATGCTTGTTACTGTCGCATGTTCTAGTAAGTTTGTGAGCCCTATAACCTCCAACGTCGATCGCGGGGCGCTGGTCTTCAATAGTATCAAAGAGTTCTTCAGTGTTTTTTTCCGCCCCCCTCCGCATCCCCCCCCTGTTGACCGAATCCTTCTCGACACGCACCTTCGAGTCGTAGTCCTTCTCGGACCTACTGAGGCAACAATCATATATTATTAAATATCAAAAATCTAGGTTACGTATGATATTTGAAGGGAGGTTTTGAAAACCTGAGGAACGGTTTAGGCCCAAAATGTTGTTTCATAGGATTTGGAGAATTTCGTTTAAAAAAAAGACTGTTCCATATGTTGAAGGATCGCGCGTGCTTTCATCCCATATTCAGCTGGATAACCATCGCTGAACACGCCTCCTTCAAGTTTCCGTCGTAGCTTCAGTGAGTGATGTCATCCTTCGTTCCAAGACACAAATCCTCCTAGGTATTACGTTACTGGAATCAACGGATCCAAGGTGTCAGGCACGAGATTTTTCGTTGATGATACAGAGCACAATATTCTGAAATATTTGGAGGATGAGTCCAACTTTCCGGTAAATTCTTTCCTTCAGTAAACGAGTGCTTCATGGTTTGCCGCAAAACGCTAAGACTGCGTTCATACTTTGCGTCAGCGTTTTGAACCTTTCGAGTGTACACCAGCGAATGGCAGCGCTTCAGCGACTAAGAAGGTAGAAAATTGATCTAGCGTTCTGAGCGTTTAGCGGGTAGTTTGAAGTTTTCGGCTGGTCAGTCACTGTAATCTGGCTACGCACGCTCAAAGCGCTACCGTACGCTCGAACATTCAAGACGCTGACGCAAAGTATGAACGCACTCCAGGACCGCTTCCATATTTTGCGGTTAGAGGGAATCTGCGATTCTGTAGAGCCGGCGATAAAAAACAAGCAAAATCGGACGACAAAGGGAATTGAATGAGAATCAGTAGTTTGTTTGTGAGCGAAGATTATCTCCTTTGATTCACTGTCGCTGATTCCTCGGGTGCGCGGGTTCTCTATTTCTCCAATCTAAGAACGTGGCCTAAATAAGCTGACGGAGGTCCTGTTTTCAGGTCAGCATACGGTTCTCTCCTCCATCGGTTTCCACAAATGAGAAAATCATACTTTCTTCCATGTTTCATTCATTGTTTACGATTGCTGTGCAATTAAGCCCAGCTGCTCGGAGCTCCGGAATCGAGGTTAGTGAGAAATTCAGTTCCCTAACTAGTAATGATCATGTCTCTGATAATTATCTTTCTGAATTCCCAAAGGGGCTTTGCTGTACACAGAAAGTCGAAAAAATAAAATTCCCCGCAAACTTTTGCCGCTGTTTTGCAACTCTTAGTTTCCTGCGCAGTAACAAAGAGTACAACTAATTTTATGAAAGCAAGCAGTGGTGGCTTTCAGGTGATGGAAACAACACAATTTCGGCTGTCTTGCTTGCAAAGCAGAACCGGTGCGTTTACCACTCACTCCTTTAGAAGTTATTCCTACATTTGTTTTGGCGTTTATGTACCTCTGCACCTGCTCAGGGAACACTGCTGATATATTTTACTTACATAATAATCATTTAAGGAGTTAAATTTGTTGTGGTTACGTCGCCTTCGGCTGCGATTCCCATCGAATCTCTTCTTAACAAGCTTTATGAACTTTATGCTGATTACGCCCTGAAAAATCCGTTCTACGCAATTGATATGCCAATCAGGTAAGTCAATGTTCCTCCGAGAGAAAGTGCTTCGCAAAAATGTTCTCTTTCACATTCTATGATCATACAAGCACTCGTTTTACGTTTCAGATGTTCAAAATTTGAAGAAGGTCTGAAGTTACTTTTGGAACGTGTTGATAAGAATTCAACTTCCGTCACGATCTAATCCCTACTGTGATTATGGCAATGTTGGACATTGCTTGTGTATTATGTATTTATGGGTTTTTCGCATTATGTTCAGTGCGAACATTTGTATCTCAAGAGTTCTATAGATTTGCATAAAACTTATTCATATCTGCTCGATCTACATTGTCCGGTGAACGTTCCATGTTTACATGGTCAACTGTGCTGTATTTTCTTGCCGTAAGAAGGTGCGCCATCCATTCAGTTTTCGATTCCAGAGACGGTTTGATACAAAGTTTCGGCCCTTTCTGACGAAAATTCCAGACGCAATGTGGTTACCTCGTATTCGCCGATAAGGCCATTGTGAAGGTAGTTTTCATATTTTTGTCTCTCTCATCATCTGATAGCGAGATTCTTGTGAAGCTCATGGTGATCAGGTGTTCAGTATGTGTTCAGTTATTTCCCATTTTGTTGTACAGGTAGCAGACCCTACCAATAAGCACTATTTCGGCGGTTTCTGTGGGTAGACCGGGTCAGACGTGTCCACAATAGCACAAACACATGACTATGGACTTCTTTACTTCATGGTTCCGTTTAGAAGGAGAAACCAATGATTGGAAAAAAAGAACATTCCAATAACATGGATAGTCCGTTTCAACTCTTACTTCAGACGAGCCATAGTTATTTCATCCCCGAAGCTAAAAATGAAGCCGTGTCAACATTTCCATGTTTGGTCTTCCTGATCGTGATTGAAATTAATAGTCGGGGAGGGGTTGGGGACGGTGTTGTGTCGCGGCCGTGCGTGAGCGGTCATTATAAAGCTCATCGTAGAAATATTGAAAGACAAAGTTACATACATAGAACGTTGCATATCGTTGGGTTGCTCACTTTTTCTCTACTGGAAACGCGACCTTGTTGTGCGGCACTCAATAGTTTGCACTTGTAATACGCTGTAAGTTAGTCACCTCCCCTTGGCTGGTTTTCTCGTGTTCGAGATATGATCGATTGGGTAATTTAGTGCGCTGTTGCACAGCCGCGAGTTTCTTTTTCAATATGTGGCTAGTTCGAAGCAATTAATAGACACTGTAGTGTCTATCAACTTGTCCAACTAAGCACATATTGAAGAAACATTGAACACTGGGATGTTCAGATGGCAAAAGCTTAATTAACGGCTGAAGACGGTGCGTTGTCGATCGAGGGGGGCATTTTGTATTATCATTGCTTCCCTAGTTCCGGTTTACAAATCTCACTCTGGTAAAACTTGTGAACTCTTGTGAAGCTGAAGTAAGATCGTCTAGCCACTATCCTAAAACGTGTCAACTCGAGAAACGGCTACCTAAATGGGTCGACACATCTATGGAAAGCAAAATGCTCCCCCCCCGCCCGTCGAACAAAACTGGCGCCACCTAAACCTATCTATCTACGGCTTCAGTACACATAGAATCTGTCAAATTTAACTCTCGGGCAAACATCGGATCAAATTCTACTTGACTCGGAGCTTCCTCTGTGTCGCTCCCCTGCTTACGAGGCGATACGCGTTAAGATGGTTAGGCTCATTTTAAATCAGCTAAAGTTGCAAGAGCCGACCAATCCGTCCTGGAACCGCTTGTCGAGTTGGGAATGCAGCAGTTCCTGACTGTTGGGTTGTAATGAACAACGTTTCGTGACAGCACTTTCTTACCACTAGTCAGGAGTGGTGTCACTTAGATGACAGCATTAGCCGGCACACAGAAGAAAGGTTTCAATGGAAGGTGGGTGTAGTTCATGACATTCGGTGCGTCGAGAATCTTGCCCACTTTCCCAAACTATTGTCCCTGGAGACCTCCTCTAGGCTCTGTTTATGTGCGTCCATGTACGACATCGCCCGCTCGAAAATCGTCTCAATGGTCACGTCTTTTTGTTAGTACGTAGACACTTATGCGTAAACGCCTCTCCCTTTCAGTGGTACCGAAGAAGGATCATGTGTTTGAAGAGAACTCTGCCATTTTCTATCGCATTCTCGGGCATTTGCTTCTTACCTGATGTGCATTATTTACAGTCGGATGGAGACTTGAGCAATCGGGAAGGAACAGTGGCAATCGTTGAGAAAATTCTAAACGTGGCGAACACAAGTGCACTGCCGAGTACAAAGTTCTTCCAGATCACCATTTCTTATACGGATCATTCCTACACGATCATTGAAAGCGGTAGATATACTTTTGTTGTTAAACGAAGGATTCATGCTTAGCCAGCTGTACATACTTGCTTTTTGCCTCTTCATGGAACCTTTAATGATGCAATAACATAACATCTGCTGTCCGCGAGTGAATAACTGTGATTTCTGCTAGCATGTCAAGGCGGATTTGAACATTTCAATAAATTCTACGTAAGGATAATATTTCTGTGCTGGGAAATTTGTAGATACAGTGTTCTTCGCTGCGACTGCTAGGGCGTGTCGTGAGCTGCATTTGGGGCCGTGCCTAATTGTTTCCCACCACCAATTCTTGTCGCTTGTTTATTTCGGCCGTTGGTTGAGAATCTTTGCAATAGCGCAAATCCAACTTCCCAACTCTGACAGGTCTAACGAGAACTAACTCAAGTTTCTTGGCGATGACTGCCCAACTTTTCTGTTTTCTCTGCGCTCTCTTGCCTACATGGTGCTTTTGTGACTGCTCTGACCTTTCACATTCCATAAATACTAGGTGGCTCATCCACCCCGGTGCCCCTCGAAAAATACTCATTCCTTGCGAGGGAGGACCCCCACTAAGTTTTAGTTGTCACGTAACCCCCTGTCACGCCCCGTCATCCACAGCGAAAGAGACTATAGACTACGACGGTACCCCAACTAGACGGGTTGCGAGCTTCATGGGATGCATCTGTGTTTGAATACATTTATGTCTGTACTATAGCATGCGAATGTTAGTTGATGTCCTAGTGAGAACTTGTTAACCCTGGAAATTGGAAAATAGATGTCCTGACCGGTTTTTGATCTGTGCGTATACTAAAGGAGTATTGGCCGCAGCTGTAATTTTGTCTTCAGTAGATAAACGAACATATATTTCAAGAGGAAGGAGCGTGTAGAAAAAAATCGCAATGGTTCCTTTGCTTGGTGCTCATGGATTTGGCCTTCCCGCCCGTGCCGAGCTGAAATGTGTCAAATACGTTTGACATGTGCCATTTTTTCGCATCATGGTCTCCTGCGCATTCTGAATCACTAATTAAGACCGCTGCTGGTCTCTAAACCTGAAAAATTCTGACAACCCCTGGCCTCATAAGTGTTGTTTATTTGTCCCTGTTGTGGGGTGAAAAGGGCAAGTTGAAAGGATGATCTGGTTGCCCGTGTTGTCTGTGTCTCTTACTTTGTTGCGATCAATCGATGCTGGACGGGCGGACTCTATCGATACGTGCCCGTCGGACGGTTGCAGTGTTACCCACACGATGGCAGAGGTCGGCGGCTCCCATACAAAAGACTTCCCTCACTCAGGTTAGTTTAGCGTTTCACAATTCGACTTTAGATCTTTTTGTGGGGCTCGAACGATTCAAGAAAATTCCCTGTTTCAGGAACAGAAGGATGAACTGAGAGCAATCGCTGAGAAGATCGTTGCTGATGGAAAAGGAATTCTCGCTGCTGATGAGTCCACTGGTATGCTACCTGTGCACACTTTCACCTTCTAGGAGTCATTAGGGCTGTAGCCTATGCCCATTAGGGCTGGAGCTAGATATAAAGGCGTAAAGCGTGGAGGGGAAGGGACCTAGTACTTTGGAGGGTAATTACTGTTTTGCTCTCCATACCTCACATAATTACGTTTCTCTGCTGTGCTGAACTTTTTGAAGGGCTCTGTCCGCCTGGGCATAAAATCGCCAACGAAACAAAAGGATGATGTAGTGTTAATGCCAAAGAACATTACAGCTATGACGAGCCTGGCGGCGCCACATCCGCAGCTGTTTTTATCAGCTTAATCCACTAAAAATGACTGAACTGCTGTGAAATGTAGGCTTTTTTTGAAATCTTTATGCGCTATGGCTAGTAGCCGGCCGGAATGCGACAGCGAGAGAAACGGCCGTGGCAGTGAATCGGCGAAAGGCAGCGGTGGCACGTATACCACTTTTTGTAATGAGTTCGCTGATATGAGACCCCTCACGGGAAAACAACTGCGCTTGCCGGCAACTGAGAGGTTTCGCTATCAAAAACGCCCTGAAAACACTTCCGTGTAATGATTTGAAACTTCCCTTGTTTTTGCTCCTAATGGTGGACTGTGCGATGAAAACCAGCGAACACTTAGTAGGGAGCGGAGCGGAAAATCAAAAATTGGCATGCTACTCGACTTGCCCGTGAAGAAAGAAAGGGGAGAAAAGCATCACAAACGCTCTGAATAAGGTCCTGTTCGGCCAAGCGAGAGATAAAGATTTGATGCGGATAGCGAAAGGTGAGAGAAAAGCAGCGAGAGAGCATGCAAACAAGCAAGACAGCAGACAAGATATCTATCAACGTAGGCGGAGTCCGCTTAAAGAAACGCTTGTGCTTTGGCCCCCCGCAACCTTCCCCACTTGACCTGACTGAAACTTATACATTTTTTGTTCGTTTAGTCCACGCTACCTCCACTTTGAACAGCTTAGATAATTACAAGTGATAGTGAGTTCTGTCTTTAACGTTCTTGCTGTTTCCTTCCAGGCACCATTGGAAAACGACCTCTCTGCCATCAACACCGAAAACAATGAAGACAATAGGCAGAAATACAGGTAAAACTGTTTAACAATGCCTGGGTGGCCTCCTACTATCGAAAGAATTTTGTTTTATGAAGCAGTCCTCTTCACAACACCGAACATTGGTGAGCACATCTCTGGAGTAATCCTTTTCGAAGAGACATTCCATCAGGTTTGTCCTAATGTTTATGCTTCTCACAAGCTCCGCCCCTACATCAATAAGTTATTTTGTTTATCATATGCCCCTTTATATCAGTGGGTCCAGCTACCAGTTTTTTCAGTTACCAGGTGGGACACTTTATGGTTTGTTTTGCGTCATAATAATATTTTTCAGTGGATTGGCAGAACAACATGTGACGCTAAAACCATGGGAATGTTGATATTGTGTCCTTGTCCACAAGCGCTTCATTATCAGATGCCCTTAGAGCCCCTTGATGTGTCGAGAAATTGTTTTTATGGGTGGCCGTTCTTTGATGGTGTTGAAAGGTGACGTACTTTTGAACTCGTCACGTGCGCCGATAGCGCCCAAGGTCAACTAACTAAAAACAATTGTTTATTCTGCA